AAAGGCGGAGAGGAGGTGGGGTGGCGGGACGGAGGTGGCTGGAGTGAAGGAGGAGGATGGAGGGAAAGGGTTGGAAATGAGAGCAGGGCAACGGGGTGGAGTGCGACAAAGAAAGGAAGGCAGTGATGGCAGTGAGAGAGGGCAGGAGGGAGGGGGAAAGCTGGGAGCCGATGAACCCCTTTCCCTGTGTTTGTACAGCGCCTGGCGCGACCCCAGAGAGTCTGCTCAGGGCATTTGCTGCAGGTTATCGATGCCGTTGTAAGGGGGTGCGGGTCCCTGGAGAAGAGTAATTCGTACAGCCCGAGTCCCTTGCCTGTGGTCCTTCCACCTGCAGACCCTCAAGCCAAGTACGCAGAGTTCCTCTGGGGAGAAAGGGATCCCCTTTCCACCCGAGGAGCCCCGTGGTGTCAGGCCACCACGAAATCCACCCACCCGCGCGGCTCTGCAGAGCTCTTCCATAGTTTTCAAGAGCTAAAAGTTGTATGAGAGCCTGCACTTGGTACCGGAATGGTGAAAAAGTGCTGGCCGGTGTGCATACGGCCAAGGTGTGCCTTCTGGAGGATGGAGAAGCGCTCGCCTGTGCTGTGGGAGATGCTGTAGGACTTGTGGAAGGATCGGTGTGTTTCTGTACTATCTGGAGAAGTTTTGCTCCCCACCGCCTGCCAGCACTGCGACTTTTTAAAAGCGGTTTGCACTACTCCAGTTACGGGAGAGTCGCCATCAGTTGTGCATCGCAGAGAACCCTCTCCCTCCCTGCGCCCCTCTGTAAAGCCAGGGAAATGTTTCCAACCGGCTTTTAAGAGGCCTTTTACTCCGAATCTCGAGGTTTCCACCACGAAAACTGCTGAAGGCAAGCGAGAAGCCCTTGAAAAAAGAGTTGACAATAGAAGTGCTGACAGGCTCTTAGATATTGTGATGCCAGAGATTCCGTGAGCTAAAATCAGGGCATCTTAAGACTTTGGACTGCGTTGATGTTTAACGCACTGGTTCTTGGGAGAGCGAGTTCCAGCTCTTTTTCATTAAAATTTGTTCCACTTTATAAACGCACGCAAATTTTAATGCAGGCGTCTGCTGGAGAGCTATATGTTTTCCACCAGGCGAAAAAAAAGAAAAAAAAAATATATACCTATATATCTGTCTTCCATCAACACGATTATTGGCCAAATGCCCGATTCGTTGCATTTGCCTTGCAATCTCCTGTATAAGCTGGTGGTTCTGGTGGAGCGAAATGTCCCACTAAGAGAGAGCAATAGGGCGAAAGAAGGGACAGGGAACAGTGGTACATCATGCGAAGAAGCGGCTGAAAAGATAAATTAAGAAATTGCCTGTGAGCTGGTAAAACTTGGAGCATGTGGGACTTGGATGCCAGGTCGGGTCGGTCTTTGCCCCTGCGCTCCTGTCTCGGCCTCCCTTCCCGCTGTCTCTGAGCAAGGCACGTCCCAGGTGCTGACATCTGTTCTTGCTGCAAACCATTTCCCTTTTAGTCCCGCAAAAATCCATCTTAAAAAGCAAATGCATTGAGTCAATGTGTGTTTTCCTAGAAGACATTTTCTTGGAAGAAAAGGGAAAACTTGAAGAAGGCAGAAAGTAAGAAGGAAATTGAAGAAGGAGACATAAGTTTTACTTCCTTTTTTTTTTTTTTCACCGAGGCTCCCTCCGCCCCCCCGAGCAGCCCAAGCCCAGCCCTGGGACACCCGGCCCGGTAACATCCCGCCGGGAAAGGTCTGTCCTCCTTTCCCAGCCCCATTTGGCCGCTTTACAAAAACGATTTTTTTTTTTTTCCCCCTGACAAACTCTGTGCCGTGAGGGAGCACACTACAGTGCCGGATCTCCCCAGCCTCTGAGGCAGGTTGGAAGAAATTCACCGGCAACAAGAGGATGGGGGGGGCCTCCGGAGTGCCCCCTGCAGCGAGTCCTACAAGCCAGATCTGTACCGGGCTCCTCATGCCCTCTGCTAAGGGTCCCCTTTATCTTCAGGAGGGGAGTAAAGACTTGGCTTTGCATGCCGACAGCTAGACCCGTACCCCGCAAACCCCAGACAACCGCCTGCAAAGCCCCCCGGACCCCCTCCAGGTCCCCAGCACCTCCCCCCCCCTTCGAGCCCCGACCCTCCCGCATTTGGCCCCGAGCTGCTGGGGGCGAGGGGAGGCAGCGGTGTCCGACGGGGCGGCGGGGCGAGAGACCTTGCCAAAAAGTCAGAGGCTTTTCCGAGCGACTGGTTCCCAGGGCGTGGGGAGGGCAGCCCCGGGGGGGAGGGCGGCCAGGGGAGGGGGCGGCTTTGGCCAAAATCTCCGCTTTCTGCGGGGATAGGCTGCCTGGGGCTGAGCCAGCAAAGGGGGTCTTCGCTGCCCAAGGTGGGGGGGGGGGGGGCCCAGTTCGGCTCTTCCCCCGCAGCCCCGCTCCGCAGCATCGCAATTCACTGTCCAGGCTCCGAAAGGCCGTCGGACAAGGTGCACGATCGCTCCGTTTAAAAGCAACAATTTTCCTTACAATAGGTAGAGATTTTCCGATACCGGTACTTTTTAATCCCGCGCTTCATTTGTGTTTTCTCTGGGAGAAATCCTGTCGTCTGGGACATGGAGGCCGGTACAGCACAGCGGCAGCGCAGGAAGAGCGAACCTTTTTCTTTGAATAATATATTCCTGTATTAGAAGCTAACGTCGTGCTGAGTGGAAACCTTTTACCTGGGAAAGCTTTTTACCAGAAATCGCCCGGCACACATATCCTTATTTCCATTTTAGCTCAGAGCACAAAAAGTCTCCCACGCTAAATCTAAACTGATGGAAATTAAACCTGATTAGATTCAACAGAAACACCAAAGGGTCCGGTTTTGCTTGGCTTACGGAATCGGGCTTGGTTTATCCCCCGAGGTACTCGAGGGTAAAACGGGCCCTCTCTGCATTTCAGGTCCCCTTGCAAACCAGAGCCCGGTAATTTCGGACACACTGGCACCGTGCAGCGGTCTCTAAGGCGTCCCCGCTGCCCACCCGGGACACAGTCCGGGTGAGTGGGTCCAAAAGGGAAGCCTTGTCTGAAAAATTCGCTAAAATAAGCAGGCGGCTTTGGCTACCTTAGCGCTGCGGGTCCCTAAAATCAACTCGATTTTGCGGTTCGGCCGTAGCTGGGTGTAAATTGCTGTTGTGGGCTCCCCCCTCCCCGCCCCCGGGCCCAGGCAGCGGCTGGGGGCAGCGGGGACGTGGGTCCCCTGCGCCGGGCACCGCGGGCGGGGAGGGAGGGAGGGGAGAGAAAACGGTTTCACGAGGTGGAAAGCAGCTCTCCCTGGAGTCCCACAGGACGGCAGCTACAAGTGTCACACATAAACAGGCTTTTCGGGGGAGCTAAGCCGACTCCTTCAACCCAGAGGTGCGGGGCAGAGGCGAAGCGGGCCATGATGTGACCCCGGGACAGAGCATCCCTTTTCGAAGCCTTTTGTTTCCCTCCGAGGTCAGTTCAAAATCCTCAACTAAATCGCCTTCCTGCAACCTCAGCGCTTGATACGAGAGGCGTGTGGTAAAATCCTAGAGGGGATTTCCGAATAAAGCTAGTCATTCTCGGCTGTTCAGTAGACTGGAATTGCTAAAGATAAAAGGGGAGAGAAGAGAAGAGAAGAGAAGAGAAGAGAAGAGAAGAGAAGAGAAGAGAAGAGAAGAGAAGAGGAAAAGAAAAGAAAAGAAAAGAAAAGAAAAGAAAAGAAAAGAGAAAGGAAAAGAAAAGAAAGGAAAAGAAAAGAAAAGAAAAGAAAAGAAAAGAAAAGAAAAGAAAAGAAAAGAAAAGAAAAGAAAAGGAAAAAAGAAAAGAAAAGAAAAGAAAAGAAAAGAAAAGAAAAGAAAAGAAAAGAAAAGAAAAGAAAAGAAAAGAAAAGAAAAGAAAAGAAAAGAAAGTTTTAAATTTTAGGTGCACTTCTAGATTTTCATGAATATCTTTTTTAATAGACATTCATGTATCTCACTACTTAGAAAATAAAACGCATGATCCATAAGAAGAGTTGAGAAACTCAAGATAGTTAAATGAAGCATTAAGAAATCCACCATAAACTTAGATTCATCGGGAATGGGAAAGGGAAACGTAAGAAAATTTCCTGGACCTAATTTGAGGCTGAGAGCACTAAATACTGCGAGTCCGCCCAAGTCTGGAGCGAGTCTCCTTCGGATCGATGGTGGGAGCGGGGCGCGCACCCCGCCCGCCTCACGCGTTGGCAGGGGCAGAGACAGGCTAGTCCAAGATAATGCAGTATAAAAGAAAAAAAAAAATCGATCCAAATATATTGTTCGCCAGTGGAGCCAGCGCGCACCTATGAGATTTATCAAGTATTGATTTGCATGAATATTTTAGACCCATGCCTACGAGAAAAGTTATAGGCCATCTGAAGCCGGTGAGCAATGTACCATTTGCAAAGTAGCCATTTAACAAGGTGCTCCTCAGCATATCGATCATTTTCATTTAAAGTGTGATTAATAATAACATCCTACGGCAGCTACACCAGGAATATATTTCAGAAGGTCAGTTCAGAGCCTATTTTGATTTTCCTTTGCTTTGCTTAAAATAAAAAATAAATCTTTTCACTAATTATTTTTATTAGCGTCCAATAAACACAAGTTATCTTTGTGAGTAGTCTGGCACGGTTTTCCTTTGCCTCGCCTCTGGAGTGCCATCTAGCTAAGCTGTTGTAGCAACATTCATTAAATAAATGTCAACAGACAAGGATTTATGCTGCATAATAATATTACAGCTGTAGTATAACTGGATTTATTTTAAAGCTATTCTGAGGTTGCTTTGATCTATAAAGCAGCAACGTATGTCTCTATATGTCGCCAACAGCCTTTGCGAAACTACTTTGAGCTTTACAGTCCGCCAACAGTTTTCTTACAGCAGAAGCAGCACAAAGCGTGACTCTTACCTCTCTGATTTGTTTAATAAAAAATATACATAGGGAAGAAAACTGCGAGGAATCTGCTGTCCTGATTTGAGGGGTGGGCTTCGGTCTTTTGTTTGGTTGGTTGGGTTTGGGGTTTTTTTTTCCTGATTCCAAATTGTCAGTGCACATACATCAGGGACTACGTCTTCTGCTAGCTCTTTCTTTGCAACCTGCAGAAATTTCTTGCCATCAGGTACAATGAAAAACGTCATTTAAAAAGCTAGGAGGTAAAGAAACCTGAGGTGTATATGTTCCTACTTTCAGCACATACTTTTAATAAGCCACTATAAAGCAGTTCCTGCATGTACAGAACAAGGCATAAGTAAGCACTTTTTCTTGATGAATTCACGTCTTGCACCTTTTAATATTTTACTATGATCATAATTTACAAATACAGTGTATGAAAAAAAATCTGTTTATTGATATAATCAGCACGTCTTTAAAAAACAAACAAACTAATGTCAAAACACATTTTAAAAATCCGATTGATCATTTAGCCCTGCCAGTTCCTTAACTTCAAGAAAAGAATATTTAGTAGAATCAGAAGTATAATAATCTCATGTTACTCCAAAGAAAAGGCATGTGGAGAGTGGCAGGCGTGTTAAGTTTCGCGTTGGATTACAATCTACTCTGATATGACTGTAGTGAGTCAGGATTTTGCTCCAGTGGGTAGCACTGGGAGAGCTGGGGAGCTGGGTATGACGGGGGAAACGGTCTGGCCGCTTTCTTCCAGGGCTAGCCAGGCTCCGAACGGCATCAAATCAAGTGGTTGCGCCCCGAGGAAGAAACATCGCCCCGAGTCACCTCCTCTGCGCAGGAAAAGGCTGAAGTCCGCCCCAGCCGCCCCCCCCGCGGCCGGCGGGTCCCGTCCGGGGCACCGGCCCCCCCAAGCCCGCCGCCTCCCCGTCCTTCTTCCACTGCTCGGGGACCAGGCTTTAGAAGTTTTCGCCACAAATTCGGGGGTTTGACAGATATGCAAAGAAAACAGCTGGCGAAGATCTCCCGGAGCGAGACGAGGGATTTCAGAGCAGTTAGGGGGAAAAAAAAAAAAACTAAAAAACCCCCAACAGCTTCCAGAAACGGGGCTCAAATCGAAACGAGCACCCCGGCAAGTTAGCACTTTTCTCAGGAACCCGGATTACATATATTTATTTCATTCTCGAGTGGGTTTGAGACTTTCAGCGTCCTGACTTCAACTGTGCAGGCTGATGCCCAGAGCCGTGTTTCAGGCCAAAGCGGAAAAAGAAAAAGAAAAAAAAAAAAGAAAGAAAGAAAAAAAAAACGGTGGAGAGGTTATAATCCGCCCCTGACCCTTCTTCTCAGGTTTCGCATCAAAGCTGAAGCTCCGCCGCATCTCGCCGATCGATTCATAACAAGAAACCGTGAGATTGCTCCAAATATAATATAAAACGTAGGAAATAGTAAGAATTAGATCGCTCTTCCTTCACTGGAGACAGGTCCGCATGCACATACGCCAATAGATCCAGGACCCGGCTTTCCCTGCGGGGACACCGAGTGCTCCGAGCTGGTCTGTTCAATTACGTCTGATTATGCCCTAAAATGTACGATCAAAGCTTGACCTTCCACCAAGGCTGAGTTTTATAAGGTCATTTCCCCCTTAATATTCGGAAAAAGCAATTCAAACCTTTAGAAACAATGATGGACCCGATATTCATTTTAGCAGCGGGTAGAGAGGGGGAAAGAAAACAGTTATTAAAGGAAAAAAAAAATAGCTTGGCATGCATAATACTTCATATAATATCACATTACAGGTTAGCTTGCATAACTAGCCATACAGCTCCCCAGTCTGTCCCCATCTGATTATTTTTCTTTCCTTCCTTTTTAATTGCCAGTGCAAACTCCTAATCGATTACACAAACCGATCCCGTAAGAGACAGACAAGCCGAGGTGCGTTTTCCTCAGCCTCCTCAGGAGACTGAAATAAGTGGCAAACCCACTGGTAACATACAGTATGTTGAATTATATATATATATATATGTATGTATTTAACCGCGTATTTTAGCCGATAGTTTGTCAGGGAAATAAAACGCAAACCAAGAAACCGAATCCTCACAGCTCGGACTTCAGCGGGGCGAATTCATTCCAACGATTTGCCTTCTTCGAGTTGTTTCAAATCAAAAAGCCTGCATCGAGAAGGACCAGGGGGCATCAGCACATGCTTGGGGATCGATCCTATGAAAACGAGAGTAATCACGGAGTGTGGGGGGGGCGGAAATCTGTACGAATTAAGTGGCTAAAACAAAGGGCCCTGGAGAAGCTGCTGGAGGCGAGGATCCGCAGGCTCCCCCGGCTCTGCACGGAAAGCAGCCGGGGCAGCGGGGAAAATGAACGGTTTCCCCGGCAGGAGCGCTGGCCTGGGGCAGCGGAGAAACACGGGGAAGGGCCCCCCTGGCCGCGGCGGGGG